GATTCCCGTCCACTCGAATAAATTAGCTAAACTTTAACATGAATCTCTTTCTGTGTTCACTATCTTCTAGTGGATTCGAAAACCTTGCCATGTCAGATTGGCGAGTGTTTCTATTGTTAAGAAGCATGAAAGGCCTCTGTTGAATCACTTTTTAAGAACATTAAGTCCATCGTGTCAACAGGTTTTTAAGCTTTTTCGGTAAATCTCACAGCACATGGTCCCTATTGTGCCAAGATCACTGAGACCGACAACAGATAAATTGGTGCTGGCAGTCTAAGGAGCTTGGAAAGAAAAGCGTCTGGACTTCTTTAAGTTTCTTGAAGACGTTTCACCTCTCATCCAAGAAGCTTCTTCAGTTCTAAGGGTCAAATGGTGGGGAGTCCCAGATTTAAACCCAGTGGGAGTTTCCCCCCAAAGGACAAAGGACTCCCTGATGATCCTCTACCTAATCACATGAGCCAAGGTGAGAAAGCGGGTGTGGCTCACAATCAGCCAGGGTTTCAGGTGAGCTCATTGTGAAACCTGGCCCCACCCTATCACGTGATTTCCTGAGGTCAGATGGCCCAGGATGTGAGTGGGCGTTAAGGCATCTGGGAAGGGATCTCAAAACTGGATCTCCTCTGGTAGAAACTCTTAACTTTGCCACTGCTACATGCTGTTCTAAAGTCAAAGTTCAGAATTACTTTTAAGCAGTTGTGCTGCTAGTCTGTGGATGTCATCAGAAAACTTTATTAAAGCCAGAAGGAATTAGTTTTTTACAGATGTTCGCTTAAAATATACATATAAAAGACAGAAAATTGAAACTCTGTAAAATCTGAATACTTCATAAAAAATATGTAAAATATAAAATAATGAGGAAAAGATAGGGTACTCAGGGTGCAATGATAAATTAAGTTTATTAAAACAATACTATGTATATGCAAATAGTCTGGGTGTCATAAGGAGGAGTTATAAAGTGGGCTGTCCAGCCTGAGATGGAGAGGGGTGTGAAGCATTGTCCAATATTGCTGGTAACTTGGACAAGCATCCTCCTCTCTGAAACCCAGGATGGCACCAGCCACTACAGACTTATCAGACTTATAAAACAT